TATAGTTTTAAAAAACTAAAAAACCAAACTAAAAAATAGAAAATAAATTTGAAAAAAAGCGTTGGGTGCCTGTTGTCAATAGTAAAAAACACTTTGCGTGAAAGCGTGTTGTTTAGTTTTTTAAAACTTTTTTTTTTAATTAGTATATTGTCATATACGTTGACATACGTTTACATGACCGTTTAAAGTCAGTCAAAATCTCGCCCAAAGGAGTCGGTTACAAACATACAAACAAACATACAAGTGAAGCTAATATAAAGCGTGTAAAAAGATATGAATAAGTTTGTGTGACTAACATTGTATCCATTGTTCAAGTAAACATAGTTTATTTATTAAGTAAGATAAAGTATCTTACACCCTTAACAACATGTATGCAAAGTTTCATAATAATACGAATTTGCTATTTACGTACCTTACCTATTAATTACTATTTTTATTTCAGACTAGCTGAGACCCGCGGTGTTAACCGCGTTTGCTGTTATAACCGCGGGCAACGCCGCGGGGCGAAGCTAGTCTAAAAAAGAGCCTAAGTTACTCCTTATGTCATCAGCTATCTGCCAGTGAAAGTCCCGTCGAAATCGGTCCAGCCGTTCCAGAGATTACCCGGAACAAACAGACAGACAGATAAAAATTGTAAAAAATGTAAAAAATGTTGTTGTGTTGTACCGTGTACACATACATTATGCATTTAATAAAAAACGGTTATTTTAATATTACAAACAGACACTCCAATTTTATTTATTTGTATAGAAGAACATATCTATCTCGGTCTCACAGACAACTATTGTTGGGCAATTTTTGAAGTGGAAACTTCTATAGGCGCGTAGGGCATTTCTGAACAACAAACAAAAGACTGTATTTTTTGAGATGGAAAAAAAAACATTGAACTCGCGACACTGTTACCGTTCCCGACACCCTCTGTTTATAAGTATCCACATATGTATATTGAAAGGTAATCAAAGTCAAACTCCAATGACTGCATGGATGGCGTGGTGTAAGCGGTCGCCACGCCGCTTCCGACAATACTGAGTGTTGTGGGTTCGATCCCCACATGGAACCAGACTTTGTGTGATCTACAAATTGTCGTTCTGAGTCTTGGTGTTCTTTGTGTCCCTTACATGTATGTTTGTAAGGTCCCCCGCGACACAGGATATATTTCTAAGATAAAAAAATAACTAGAATAATAATAGTTGCATTCATTTTTTCTATGACATTAAGTTCATAAATTTACAATAATGCCAGATTTCAGTCTTTAATAACACAATACCCGATCTATCTGATTTAAAATAAAATCCATAAGTATGTCAGTATGTCTAAATAACGACAGTCAGCATAGTCAGATATAATAATGCAGTGCCTGAATAAATAATGTTAGCAATATGTAGTTCGTATGCAGTTGTCTGTGTAAGCGCCTGTGGAAGTTTTATGATGAGATAAGTTTGCTGTGGATTGTAAGCTTCGTGCGGCTTGCTTAATTAGCAGTCTCATATTTGGACAGTATTTATTTTGTTGTTTTTGGAGAAGATTAAGATTTTAATGCACCTATAGGATAAATCTACATGAAAATATTTATGACGTAGAGGATTCAAGATTATAAGTATATGTATAAAAGAAGATACAACTAACTGGCTGACTGGATTACTGACTGATCGAATAACGTTTGTTGCTAAAGATGCATCGTAAGGTTGATATGAGAATATTTCTTTATAAACAATATTTTTAGAAATTTTTGTGGATGGAAACTGTAAAACCTTTGTTTTGGAGAGATATGACACTAGTTTCTTCACAAAGCTAAAATGACCAGACCGCGAGATAAACTTACACATGAAGACGCAGCGTAAAAACTGACAACGTAAAAAACAGTCCTGCCGCTAGTCGAATCCTGCTAATTTCAAAGACTTATTCATAATCAATCCTATTGTTTATACGTAGTTGATAATTTCTTGACGGGCGCGGAAGTCATTTACATTGGTTACAAAAAAATAAAAAGATTTTGGAAATCCATCCCTTACGGGGTTATAATAGAGACAAAACTTTTATGAAACTTCTTCATTTTTTAATTAAGAATTATAATAACATTGGTAGATAAACTCATGCAAGTAGTGTTTAAAAATAAAAGTGTTTTGGACTTTTGAAAAACTTTCATCCTCTATTTTACCCCCTTAAACAATGTTTTTTAATATCTATATACATAAATATATATATGTATGACTTTTGTTTTAAATCATGAGGATATAAAATTCTTTACCTTTTAACTTGAAATTTGGTCGAGTTTCAAAGAAACTTTCATCGCCTCTTTTTTAAGCCCTTATAATAATTTCTAAAAACATCATCATCATCTCCCCGAATCTCAAGTTTCTGGTATTCATAGCAACGGCTCTATGTTGCTTAATAAGTTACCTCAATGCCCAACCCTATTTCATAACAACCTCATTCAATCACTTATAGGTACCCCTATAAGTATTAGTATTTTGTAAAGTTAAAAAAAAATGGTGTCTAATTATTATTATTTTTGATGACGAATATAATTATACTGAGAGTTTGTAATCGATCATCATCATCAATCATCATCAACAACCTTTAACAGTCCACTGCTGGACATAGGCCTTTCCTTAGAAAGGAGGTTTTGACCTACTATACCACGCTGGCCAGACGGGTTGGTATAGGGTTTGTGTCAAGTTTTCCTTCTATCTGCAGTACTGTTGTCCTGTGTAGTCGGCTCTTACGACACCCATGGGATGAATAGGGGTGGTGACACTCTGTATTCTTAATCCGTCACCACACGGTGGTGGAAACGGGCTCGCCGTTATGGAGGGCGTCAATCCTCCATAAACGCAGGCCTGGGATTGAAAGGTGAGGCCATCTGTCACCCTAGCAGAACTAGGCCTAGCAGAAATTGAACATGGGGGTTCCCACATAGTAGGGGGTCATCTTCAGATGTCCTGAGGTACGTCGGAGTAACAAGGATTTCTTTTCTAGGGTACAGTACACCTGGTTTCCCGGCTACTGGTACTCAAGACGACGTGCAGTTTTAGGTCGGTTCGAGCACGACATAACCACCCCACCGGTGGGTGGTATCCGAGGGAATACTGCACTGAAAAAAAGGGAAGTTAGTGTTAAAAAAATTTAACAGTGTTTTTACGTTTACAAAAATGTGTACTTTTCATAAATAGTTTGATATATATATATATATTGCCAACCCCCATTTTGCACTCTTTGGGGTGGAATATAAAAAAAATTTCATGCTTCTAGATTCTAGACCCAGCGGTTTCAGCTGTGCGTTGATCGATCAGATTCTTATATATATATTTATATATATATATATATATATACAGAAATTACATTTATATTTATAAATTTTAATTTAAGTGAGTTCGTGGGTATCTGTGCATAAACAGTACGGTTAAAAATACACTACTGGCAGCAGATAAAAATGATAAGGTTTGCATTCTAATCTATAATATATCATATCCAATAGTGTTGTGCTGTCGTATTATCGTTACCTTAATAAGATAACAAAGTTTTATCTTTATAACGATAACATTGATTATTTTAGGATCGTTTGTAACTGATTATCATCCTCTACTAATATAAACAATATACTAGTATTACAGAGTTTTATGTAATATCACCACACCATGTCGTAGCACTAGTTTTTTTTGTCCTATCGATCAATTTATCGAAAATTAGTTTTAAATGCAGTTTTGTTGAGATTTAAATTTCACACCTGTTGGTTAAGGAAGTTTTAAAACTTTTTGCTAATAAAACAACAAAAAAACCATTTCAATTTTACTTGTGACACGATACTGTAATGAAAATTTTGTGATTATTTGTTCGATGTCTAGTTTTTGTTCTATGTCATATGTCGTAAGAGGTATGGAATGCTTGAGTGTCCTATGTCCACTCAATAGACCAATCACAACCCACAAAGCCATATCCGTCATGTCCGATGGAACAAATGGAATGGGCACTTGTGTGCTAAGTCCAGATGCGTAATTTCGTTTGTGCATTTTTGTCCTATGTCCATACAAAATCTGTAAAATAAGGTATTTTTACTTACAATCAATAGATGAAAGTTCTAACAATCAATTTATTGGTAACTCATGTATTAAGAAAGACTTTCAAATCTTGAAACTATGGCTTTTTTCTATGAAGCAAAAAAAAACTTCGTCCTGTAAAATTCACCCAAAGGTAGATAGGACAAATAAGCGGCTTTCGGTAGTTGATTGAGAAGAAATAGTCAGAGAAAGAAAGACCGTAATGAAGGGGCAGATCCACTTTTTATGATATATTAATGTGCCTGTTTACTACTATGAACGAACGTAGGGCATTTGTTTTCTTAAGGGCTTAATTTCCAAGGTTTTCAATCAATGTGACATCTTTTATTTTGTCAATAAGTACCTTATTTGTTACACTTAAATGCATTTACCATTATTTTATAGTGACATTACTGAAAAGTCTGAGTCACTAAAAGGAGTTAGAGCCATCCATAAATTATGTCAAAAGTTTAGGGGAGATGATAATCAACGAACGTAAACGTATGACATTAGGTATATGTCAAAAAGGAAAGAGGGGGAAAGGTTAGTGTCATGACGTCAGATCCAAATTTTAATAAGTTAATAAAAAACCTATCTGCATTAAAAATTATATTTAGACTTATGGTTTAAATTTATGGTAACAAGATATTTAGATAGATATTTAGGTAGATATTTTATCATTTATTGTTCAATTTTTTATTGCATGCAATTTACACAACGAAAACTAATAATATAACAAAAAGACACAAATGATGTTTAAATCGTTCGTTCGAATCATCTATTGAGTTTATATCGAAGCTTATGCCCAACGGTTCTAGTAAATTTGAAAAATGGCAACACTAACAAAATCTTGTCACAAACAGTTACTAATCTGTGGTCAAAATTGGAATGATAAAAATGACGAGCTACACAATTTTTATCTAAATATTGAACATATTATAAATTAATCGTGTATTTATCAGTATGACTGTTTGGTGGGCAGTCAAAAATGAAGAACTTTACGCCGTTGGTAAGTATATTTTCAGAATTTTAATATTTTTGTAATAAATAGTAAGGTAAAGTTTTGAATAGTAGATCTGGGTGCCTCCCGCAGAGATGAGATAAATATAAACATTGTATCAGACATGCTAACTCTGAAGTCTCTATCACCGTTATCCTGTCAAGGATTGCCTGCGTTTCTCCTTTTAATTAGGGCAAATATCTGTCATATTGTCCATTCCCCCTTTGGCCACTCCCCTACACTGCAGTGATTAAATAAGTAGATTGAAAACTAATTCATAGCTCTTAATTAATTGAGTGACAGCGTTATGTTTTTGTTCGTCTTTTTATACAAACACACTTACACATAACTGCAAAGTGCAAACCTGTAATCTTATTGGTAATAATGTTTTTATTATTAACATTCATAATTCGCGTATAGGTGCACAATTAGTTTTTTACAAATATTTTTAAAATGTATAGTATGTGGGTCAAAGCTGTGCTATCCTGGCAGAGACAGCACAGCAGCGACTCAAATACGCACAATCAAGCCTACTCCATATCATGCATAGTATGCTGTTTTAAGTTTTAATACACAATATAAGTCAAACTATTTTGAAAACTAAAAATTATACCTACAAGTAGATTTAAAAAAGGAATTGATACAACCAAATTTCTGTGTTTCTTCATTTTTGGTTATATCCATTTGTTTTAATTTGACATTCCCCTCATGTAAACAGCCTATTGTTTAGCTTTACTTTAAAAACATTCCCATTTGTTTTATAAAATAATTAAAATATCTGGATCTTATCAATGGACAGTTTGTTATGGAATGTAATAATTTAAATCTTTATGAACATTATTGAATGAAAAATATTGTTGTCTAAAGATTTCCTGCCCTTGTGTTTCCCATACATTTTGAAATGTATTCAAATCATTTTGAAATGAGAATCTATTCTGAAATGAAAAGTAATGTCTGATATCAATAGCAATACTCTACTTTACCTACCTTAAATTTGAAGAGTTTTAGATTAGATAGAAATCTTGATTACCTTCTAGTTGTCGTTCAGATATATATTTGTCTTTTCGAATAAACCGAAAAGACAAATATATAAGGGTAATGGCTTGGTTCTTCCTTTCCAAATTTGTTCATCAGCATTTATACATTTTCTATGAATCATCTTATATATAAAATGCTCGTGTCACAATGTTAGTTACCATACTCCTCTGAAACGGCTGGAAAGATTTTTATAATATTTTGTTTGCAAATAGGGTAGGTCTGAGAATCGGCCAACATCTATTTTTCATACCCCTAAATGAGAAGGGTGACCCATCCCAAAATTTTTTTTTTTCAATATTTCTTGGAAATAATTTATATGGCAAAACATTGTTTGCCGGGTCAGCTAGTAATTTTAAATAAATGCACGAAGAGTGTCACAATCTTCAAACATAATATATATTATATTTAAATCTTTATATTTTATTGCCACTATTACCTTAAAAAGATTTTTTTCTTTATTAGGTATGCTTAATGTAAGTTACTTTTTATGTTCTAGATCTCTAATGGTTCCCTTTATAGTAGTTAACCTTCAATTAACTGTCGTTAGATTTGCTGTATCAATAGTTAAGTATTATTATGTAGACAGTACTTGCAACTGGGAAAGACATAAGAAACTTTAAATAACATTAATAAGTCAGCCATAAATAATTTTTTAATCTTTCTATGTATAATTCTTAAGAAGGTCAACACTGTTTAAAATGTGTTTAAAATTTGTTTCAATTTCTTGAAATATGAAATTCCAGTTTTCCTCATATTTTCTATTTAGTTTTTCAATATATCTTTTCTTAAAACAATATTTGGGTTATTAATAACATTTAAAAGAAAAAATAATTGTAATCCTTGCAGCGGCCTTACATACCAATGAAAAACATTTTTGTTTAAATTATAAATGTTGAATCTATTTAGCTCATGACCTACCTTACTTCACCTGTCTTACATACTTCCTTCCTTTCCCCAGTAACAAGGAATGAATGAGATGTTTGATAAGAATACTTTCTCATGGTTTCCCATGAACAAAGCAATTGGCAACGCCTCTTATTTTTTTAAAACCTTCACTATATATGTAGAGTAAATATCCAACTAAATTTCTAATTTCAGTAGCGAATTCTTTAGGAGTTACAGTAATACAGCTTAGCATGGAGCTCAGTGTTAACTTGAAGTTGGACTGTGGGAAAGGAAAAAGAAGTATTAGAAAAATTTACTGCTTCAGTTATCTTCACAATCAGTACTAAATCAATTTAGTTAATTATTTTAGTTACATACATAATATTTTGTACCTTTCTGTATGTTTTCTTATTTTGATATGTTTTTTCTTTTGCTAGTAGTGTCTCAGATTATAATTATTATTTGTTTTCCAAGTTGTGTGACAGCCATCCATCCATCAGTGATGACATTTTGTAAGCTTGATGGTCTTCTAATGAGAATGGAATCATGGCCATGTCTAATAATGGAATCCAGTAGGAATACACATCTGATTAGAATTGAATAAATTACCCAAATTGGATTAACACAGAGAACCAAAAACAATTTATTACTTAATTCACATATCAGAACCTGGTTTGTGTACTAAAAATATTTTACGAAGATTTGACCATGTCTATAGTGACGCAGTTTTCGCAGTTCTAGAGGTAGAAAGATGTTACGGCTGTGCATTTTTTTTTTCTACTCGATTTTATTTTTGTAATTAAGGACTCTTTTCGTATTCCATTTTGGACTTAAACCATATACAGTTCGTAAAAAATTAAAATCATAATAGTAAATAGTACCTATATAAAAGACGTATGTCCAAAGTTACGCTAGAATTAGCAGTGAGTGGTGTGATAAGGTATATTTTGCGTCTAACAGTGACGAGAGTCGAGAACAGGCACTGACAAAGTTAACCCGGTACACTAAGATTGTGCGTGTCCTATATATTAAACACCAAATGTGGCAATGAATATTTGTAGACAGATAAATTGTTACTTATAGATACAAATATGATTATATTTGTGGCGCTTTCACGCCGTGACTTCTCAATCGATCATCATGAGATTTAGAATACGCATTTTTAGGGCTACAGAAATTTTGCACAGTGGGAGAGCTATGCTTCGGCACAAATGGGCAAGCTCGATCGAAATTCTTTCGTTGCTTTTCTACGAGTGGGTGAGGTAACTTAAACCTACCCTCCCTTGATTCTGGGAGGGACTGAAGGGGTGACAACGCATTTGAGCCCGTTGAATTTCAGGTTACATGGGCGGCGGTAGTCACTTCTATTTATCTAAGCAGCCTGTTGCAGCCACTGCTAGGTATAGGCCTCTTTTCTATCACACTACTCCTGGCGGTTTTGTGCCAGCGGGATCCATTGCTCTCCTACCGCCCTCACAATGTCGTCTGACCATCGGGCAGGTGTTCTGCCTCGGGTCCGCCGCATATCTCTTGGCCACCATTTGGTAACTGCCTTAGTCCATCGGTCGTTGTCCCGTCTGGCCAAAAACAACAACAGTCGCTTACGCCGAAAAATAATAACATTTAGAAATAATACTGTAAACAAAGTATTAAATAACATATATGTAGTTACCTAGTTAAGTATAAGTAGTTAGTAATAGTCAGAATTCAATATATAGTGCATTTGTATATCTCTACCAATTAGCGGTCATGATCACTCGGCACCTATTAATGGGGTTTTGAGATACATCTCTATGAGGAAGTGTTATGGGGAAATATAATATAGTTTATGTCATTTGTCCCTTGTTAACAGACTAACATAATGACAATTTATTAAAGTTACGATTTCTTGAAAACAAAACATTGAATTTAATTTATAATTTGACGACCGAATGGCGTAGTGGTTTGTGTAACGGACTGCTATTCCAAAGGTCGCGGGTTCCATTCCCGCTCAAGTCAAACATTTGTGTGCATGAACATTTAATGTTTGATTTGGTCTTGGGTGTTTCTATGTATAATAAGTATGTATTTACAAAAAAAAAAGTGTGTATATGTAATGTATTTATATCAGTTGTCTAGTACCCATAGTACAAGCTCTGCTTAGTTTGGGACTAGATGGCGTTGTGTGAATGTGGTACAATATTATTATTATATTATTAATTAACTAGCGATCCGCCCGGCTTTGCGAGGGTGCAATATAGATAGGTACTACTAATGGGGTGTTAGTGTGGAGTAGTGCCAGTCTTATAAGACTATACTATACGACATCTTTATATGCAATATTTGGAAGCTGGCCAAGCTCCTGACAGACGTACGGCCCGACGCGGCGACGCTCGCTTTGCCCCCGCCTTTTAAATATCGGATATCTACTAAGATATTAATTTTGATGATAAACTGTTAAAGGCAACTTTGCACAACGCACAACTAAATTATATGCAGAACATATCTAACGGATTTACTTGGATAAAGAGTAATACTGTATTGTTCAAAATAGCTTCGTAAATTACCAATTATGTTTTGTAATATGTAGAAGATAAAAATGGTTGTCCTTAGGAGATAGATAGGATAATTGGGGACCTTTTTAAGCTATACAATTCCATAGTACATTACTTAAATCTATTTCGTAAGGTTTATTTCATTTTATACTACTTACAAATATTAATATTTAGTATTTGCATTTCAATTACTTAACTCCGAACGGGGCCAAAATATTTTTTGCGTAAATACATTTATGTGTGAAAATATTATAATTATTATTTATTTAGCGAGGCCGCTACGCAATCTGCGACGATTGAGTTGCAGGTGCCCATGGGCCGGTAGCCACTTACCATCAGGTGACCCGTCTGCTCATTTGCCCCCCTATACCATAAACGAAAAAAAAAGAACGAATAGTCGAACGCATATTAAAGGCATGTAGTGTGTCTTAACCGTCAGCGCCCGTGCCGTCTATAAATTATATGCATTATTCTTTCAAATATCTGATATAAATTCAGCAAAATGTTGAGCACTCGAGCTCAATCTCTCGATCACTGGAGTTAGTGCTATTG